TGTTACCTTATTTAAAATCGTTTCGCTAATATAAAAACATTCTTTAAGAAGTTTTGATGCAAATAATTCTACTTTTTTAGAATATTTTTTTAGCGCGTTTCTAAAATGTTTTTCGAATTAGCTGCAGTCAAACCGTCATAGCAAAATGTAACTTGCGTGGTCATATAAATCCGTGAAATCGCACGTCTTCCTGTGAAAGCCTGAACAAATTCTCATTCATTTTACTTTATCTGTCATACAGTAAAATGAATGAGACTTGGTTAAATGAAGAGTCAAGCAAGAATGAGTTTTAGTACATGGAACTAGAGATAAAAGCTTCTTAGAGCAGTGACCATGATAGTATTTGTATAAAAGATAAAGATCTAACTTTAAGATGATGGGAAAGAGACTTGAGCTTACAAGATAGTCCAACTATATTTACAATGCATTTTTGGACCTTGTCTAGAAAAGAAAGAGCATCATAAGAAGAGCCAGCCCAAATATGACAACAGTTTTCCATACAGGTGTAAATAAGAGATTAGTAGAGGTGAAGAATGGAATCAGGAGAGATGAAATGATGAGCACGAAGAAGTGAGATCAGATTCAAGATCGGCTGCCTGTTCTAAGCAATCTAAAACAGAAGACTTTTTGTCAAGACAGGAATATAAAGTTGAGTCATCAGCAAAAAGAGTTACCTTATATGTAATGTTGCTGGAAAAATTAATAATGTAGATAGAAATCAAAACAAGACCAAGAATAGAACCTTGAGGTACCCCAGTAGTTACTGGAAATGAATAAGAGTGTAACCATTACAAAGAAACAATTTGATAATCTCAAAAACTCTTCCAGATACACCATATGAATCAAGCTTATGGAGAAGACATGCCAAACTTTGTTGATAGCCTTTGATAAGTCAAGAGCAATACCCCTTGCCTCTCAGCATTTATCTAATGCACAATCTTTCAGTCACAGTAGTTAGCCAGTTAGCAAATCGTGGAGCGAGAGAATCGAAAACTGTATTGATTGTCTGACAGCAAGTCATTTAACTCAAAATGGAATGTGAGATGTTTAAACGAACAGGCTTCTTTCTGTCTACTAACTTGATGAGAGAACAATCATAAGTTTTCATACCTACATTGAAGATTGTCTTCATATTTATACTTTGAAATTTGAAAAAAAGAAATGTATTTATAAATTGTATTTGAGTTTCAGGTGATGAAAAAGTTTTAAAAAATTGATTATTTAAGCAATTTGCAATAGATATCTTATCTACTGATTGCACTCCATCGTGCACTCAACATCGTGGACAAAAAGAAATCGAATTTCACTTTAACAAGCCTTTTTTGGACAAGACTTACAAGCATATATATATATATATATATATATATATATATATATATATATATTCATTCCATTATTGAATTTTAGATAATTCTTCAAACGAATGCGACTTCAGAAATCTAACGTTTATTCGTACAGCTAATTTCAAGCAAAAACATTTATATATTGGACAGTGGATTTAACACTAGAAAACTTTTTTTATAATTGATGACATATTTTTATAAACATAGATATATTGGATTGTAAAATAAAATTTATTTTTGTTAATTTTTTGAAAATATTTATATCAATTGTTTAAAAAAAGTTTTTTTTTCTTTATTGCCATATATTGAAATGTATGTAAAATATTTAGGAAAGTCGTTGTTTGCATTTTTTATTTTGGCCTTAAGTAACTAGCTTAAATATCTTAAATAATTATAATTAAATATTAAAAATCTATTAAATAGTTATATATTATTTTTATAATTGATGACATATTTTTATAAACATAGATATATTGGATTGTAAAATAAAATTTAATTTTGTTAATTTTTTGAAAATATTTATATCAATTGTTTAAAAAAAGTTTTTTTTTCTTTATTGCCATATATTGAAATGTATGTAAAATATTTAGGAAAGTCGTTGTTTGCATTTTTTATTTTGGCCTTAAGTAACTAGCTTAAATATCTTAAATAATTATAATTAAATATTAAAAATCTATTAAATAGTTATATATTATATAAATATCAGATAATAAAAAATGTTCAAGAAGTCAAAAAAGTATACGTGCAACGAAATATTAATACAAAAATATTGAACGGTTCGTTAAAAAACTATAACGGGTTCTTTAAAGAACCTTATTTTAAGGTTCTTCCGAAGAACCTTCGCAAAGGGTTTTTTGAAGAACCTCTACGAGTTCTCCACCAGCGTCAACACGAAAAACCCTTAAAGGTTCTTTGAGAACCATTCGGGTTTAGAGTGTAGATACGATGCAAATGAAATGATTATTATTAGATTTTAGCAGCCGCGGTGCAGTGGTTAGAGCAACCAAAGGTTGCGGGTTCGTTCCCGTTCGAAGCACTTAAACGCTCGAAGCCGTTTTTTATTTATTTGAAGACATTTGCTAATTTTAAAACATTAAATGTTGTAAAGCGCTTTAAAATCTATTGTTTGTTTACCTGTTAAAAAAAGAACTAAATTTATACGAGTAAAAATTTATGCAGAACTTCTTTTTTTAAACTCTTTGCAATAAATTTCTTTTGCTTTTAATTTAAATTTAAAAGTATTATCACTATTTTTACTTCGTAAAACTTAATGGCCAGAAATAAATTCGCAATAGCCATGTTTTGGATCTCTGGCCAAGATATGATGTTTTTCACGCCTTGTAATATTTGTGCTAAAACTTGTTAACTTATAAACAAAAACTTCCAAACTTGTCATAAATTGTATCTCAAGAGGTTTTTTAAGAGTTTAAAAATATTTTTAAGAATCTAAGCCATTCGCGGTAACATGAAGCAGTTTAAAATTAAGCGGTCATGATTTGGTGGTTTTACCCTAAAAAAGTTTATTTAAAATTAGAGATCGTTATTTTAAGCAGTATATAGTGCATTTTTGGTACTTAAATCATTTTTAAACATTGCTCATTGTTAGTTTTGTTTATTGTTATTCTATATTTTTATTAATTAGCACCGTTATTTAAGGTAAATTTAATAACACTTCAATGTCATTTAGAAAACAAAATTGTCGGAAGTAGTGCAAAACCGCGTAACTAGCATTGGATAATACCGCATATCTACAATACATTTTTTTTACTGAAGAAGTTTAAAACTTTATATATTTTTTTATTTTAACTGATTTTGGGTTCATTTTCGTATAAAATGAACCCAAAAGTATTTATTCATATTTTTTGTAATCTCAACAATAAATATTTGGTGTTAAAATTAATAATATCCGAATATAGTAGCCATTGCTAGTAACGCGGATTTGCCGAAATATTTACTATTGTTTTTATCTCGCTTGCTTTTTAATCTTTTATCTACCTTGCAATTAAAAATACGCAAATATAAATAATCGTTCCTAATGGGATATGATCTAAACACAACCTAACAAAAATACAGAGCCTTTTTTTTTAAGACCTTTAATTCAGTTGTCTAAGATAGTTGTAAGTTGTATTAAAACAAGGTTTTTACTTAATATACAAAATATATTAAGTATAAATTTAAGACAGTTAAGTTATATTAAGACAATGTCCTAATCATAATATATATTTTATTTATTTGAATGGAAAGTTTTTTAGTTTGTTGTAGAACTAGACTAGAAATTACCTAATAAGCTTCTTATAACCTGTGTAATGTATTTCTTTTACAAATTTGTATATTGGTATAATCATATCATGCTATTCCTACAATATTATCAAGTCACGAAAAAGGGTAAACAATTTTTTATGTATTTGTATTAAGTTATTTTTATTTTATTTTTTTGTTATTGTTATTCACCTCCGGGTAACTACCAGGAACATGGTAAGGATAGAACTCATAACTTCTCACTATGAAGCAAGCGAAAAACATATCCTACAGAAACAGCAACAGAACATCTAAATTTTACACTAGATCTTAGTCATAATAAACAAAATATTTATTTAAATCTATACACACAAAGTGTTAGATGATATACACTCAGTCAGTATTTAATTTTCAAAATGAATCACAATCTCATGTTTCCCTAATTTCAGAGTAGAAAGAAAGAGCTGATTTTGGCCATAAAAACCATAAAGGCTGCTGCAGTTGAGGAGGCTCCTTTTTATTTCAATTGTGGTTATAACCCCCTCTCAACTCAATAACTCTGAAGTATTTCAATAAAGTACATGTCAAATATATTCGTGTGTAGTTTTTGTATATGATATGTGATATGATATAGTTTTTAAAATTGATATGTTATACCAAAGTACATATATATATATATATATATATATATATATATATATATATATATATATATATATATATATATATATATATATATATATATATATATATATATATATATATATATATATATATATATATATATATATATATCGTCATAAGACTATCATTTACTTATTCTCTTATCTGTCTAACTGAAAAACTAATTAATCTTATATTTTAATAAAACTCATGCCAAGTTACAATATATGTTTTTTGAATGTTATTATTTTTTTTCAATTTTTATGTGCAGAGTTAAAGTACTAAGTTATCAAGGCGTTTAAAATCAGAACAAGTCGACTTAAATATACATAATCACATTATTTAATCTTAAACTTAAACTTAACAATAGAATATTTGAACGAGTTTACACTAAGAATTGGTAACAAAGGTTTTGCTCAACAGATCGTGAGTTTGATTTCAATATGTTTAACATGATTTAGAGAACAAAACCTGGACAATATATTTTAACACCCTGTTTTTGAAACAGCAAAAAATTTAATATCACTTTATTAAAATGAATCTAAATCATTTACTGTTACAAATTATGTCATCCTATTTATTCAACCTATAAATACTTTTAAACATTTTAGATTGGTTGCAGCCTAACAAAATTGTGAAAAAACAATATTGAATAATTCTAATGTTTTAAAATTTTATTTTCGTTACAAAATTTAGTGAATAAAAATGTTTTATATTTATGAGTTTGCCATGATTGCTCTGATTGAATTATGGCAAAATACTTCTTCAGTTCTATCTGTTTATTAAAAAAGCTTGGGTCTTTAAGGCTTGACCTTGGTGAATGCAGTAAAAAATATTTAAATAAGATCTTATGTGTAAAACACTTCAATGTGCCTTTTTTATATTTTTTTCTTTTTTAGGCCAACTCTCACGTGTTGGCGGAAAGTTAGCAAAATATGTTAAGAACTTATTTCAGAGGTAACTTTTGTATTTCTTCATTTATATTTTTATTTATTTTATGTATATTCAGAACATTGCAGGCATTATAAATAAATGCAAAGATTTTGTTGATTATTATTTTAATATTACTTCAAATGAATATACATATTGCATGTGAATATTTATATAACACATTAGCAAACTAATACAAATGGCTATAAAAATGATATCAATAGAACCATTTGAAGTATTTTTATTATAAAAGTTCATTTCTTAAAAGTTAAAAAATGCTAATTTGAATTATGAAAATTGTCAAAATTTTTATAAAATTTTTGTATTTATAATACTATAAAGTATCCATGTCAAAAGTATTAAGAATATTATTAACAATATATATGAATAAATTGTTATAAGTAACTATATATATATATATATATATATATATATATATATATATATATATATATATATATATATATATATATATATATATATATATATATATACATATATGTTTATTTATATATATATATGTGTATATATATATATATATATATATATATATATATATATATATATATATATATATATATAAGTTTATATATTTGTGCATACAGATAAACAAATATAAATGTATGATGATATCAAGATCAATTATATTGTGAAAGGTTAATTGTTTGATAAACAGTTATCATTAGAAAATGATAATAGTTGAAGTTTAATTAGTGATTTTTTCTTGAAGCCTATTCCAATAGTTTTTATATTTTTGAAAGTGATTCTTTGTTATATTTTACTAAACTCTCTATAAAAAGTGCTCATTTAGTAAACCTTTGATATTTGTCCTGATTTTTAATTTTTGACCTTGTTCAATGGCCAGTTAAACATTTAGTTGCACATTTTTCATTATATAATTTGCTTGTTTGAAACCAGCAACCAGAAAACACCTATCATGTGAATACTGAAAAATTATTGTAATTACATTTATCTTGGTTTTCACATCTAGCCATTGATATAAAAGTATGCTCCATAATGATCACATGTGTATTAACCAATGATATTTTATATAAACTAGTTGTCTTACTTCAATCCAAAAAGTGAAGCTGCTTTTGTCCTTTTTACAAATGACAGATTAAATTTGTAAACAAATACTAAATAACTATTTTTTTATATATGAAGTAAATATATTTTTATAAATGTAATATATTTTAAATCTATATATGTAATCTATATATGTAAAAGTGTTAAGAGGAAATTTGAGTACTTGTAAAGTAATAATTTATGATTTCTAAATTTATTTTCGATTAAAAAGAGGTTAAAATTTAAAATAGATATAAACCTTAAATAAACCTTGATAAGTACTTTATATTTATTATAACATGTTTTTGAATTATCTTTAATTTATTGGTTAATTTTGACTCGCATTTTGAACTTTTATTCCACACATTTGCTTTAACACTTTTTACAAATGGCAAATTATATTTTTAAGCAAAAAAAGCGACATTTTTTGTTCAACAAAGGACCGCAAGTTTGACATCTAGTTTATATAATATATCATCTAGTTTATATTATATAATTTGTTTTGGTATTGTGCGTCCGTCAATTGTTGATATTTTGCAAAAACGGAGCCAGAGGTATGTGATTTGTCATATGTTCAAATTAATCATATTTCTGAAAAGTCTCGTGACTTTTAACAAAATCAGATGGTAAAAAACCATCTGATTTTGTTAAAAACAGAAAGTCTAGATCACAGGTGGAGTTTTAAAAAATAAAAGACTATACAGTTAATTTCTTTTGTATACTGGTCTCTATGCACTGAAGATACAAATTAAATTAGCAGAATCAATGCATTGGTTATGCATTGATGCTGTTAAATTGGTTTGCATGACTGGATTATCAAGGCTGTGGATTATTATGGTCCAACATTCATAACATACAATTTACATAACCTTATTCTTTTTTTATAGTTTTCTGAATGATTGCTTCTTGATATGTCTGCCCTTTTATTTAAAAAATTATTGGCTTTTGGTAAAAAGATGCCACTCAAATGGCCAAGGGTTTAAGTGAAATATAAGTAGTTCTGATTGGAAGAAAAAACATCTAACAAAGTAATCATTAGTCTTAAAGAGAGCTATTTATAAAAACAATTTTTGATTCTTTGCTTAGTGAAAATGTACCATTTCAGTTTCTTTATTTATCATGCAATTCATGTTATAAAAAAATATATTGCCAAAATAACACTTGTAAAAAAAATAACTTTCCATAAATCTGAACTCAAAGATATTTTATATCTTTTGAGGGTAAAACTAGACATATTTTTTTTCCATTTTTCATGATTGTGTGTTTTAAATTAATTTTGTTTATTTATTCAATTAAAATTATTTTGGAGGTAATTTCATTAGTTTTTTATTTTATTAAGGTATTGTTTATTCTATTTCAGATAATGTTGCTAAACGATTTATAGTCGACAATCTTTCGAAAGCAGAAAAACTCAGGTTAGCATCAAATAGAAAGTTAGCGCAATTTCTGGTATTTGTAGTATTTCTATTTGTTTATTCTGAATGTTTTTTATTTGTTTCTTAAAAATGCTTTTAATTGGATTTGTTTGTAACTTTATGTTTCTGCATATATATTTGTCTTTTAGTGTCAAACAAAGAATACGTGAATTATTTGAGATATGATTGAAATTTGCAAAGAAAGTAAAAATCAAACAAGTTAGATTCTAAGTTATTGTATATAATTTTAAAATTTTGAAATAGAAGTGATGCAATGTTTATTTATTTTTAGTCTTTTAATTTCCGTAATCAATTATTTACCCGGACTAATATAATAATCGTGTATAACTTAAATAAATAAGAAGAAATATAGCTTGACAGCGCAAAGTTATACAGTGTAAAATTGTCCTTTATTGTTTTTTGCAGTGTAGAAATAACATCAAAAATGATAGAAAAACGTTGCAGGGCATTTTTCTTACAACGTTTTGCAACATTGTTAATATAATGTTGACCTATGTTTCATATATGCCATTATTCCAACGTGTAAAAAACGATAGAAAAAACGTTGGCTCAACGTCATTATAGCTAAAATATAACGTTAGCCTAACCTCCTTATAACGTCTTTTTTCTTCAAATTTAACGTTGCTCTAACGTCTTTCCGACGTCATTTAACTAAAATGTAACGTTGTCACCACGTCATTTTACATCGTTGTAATAACGTTAGTAAAATGACGTTTTTTCGGTGTTTCATTTATAACATCATGCCAACGTCTTTCCAACAATACAAAAGATGTTAGAACAACGTTGTTCCGACGTCATTTTTCTTATTGGGAAACTAAATTTAAATAATTTATTTAGCATAGAAGACAGAAACGTAACCTAATAAATAATTTATATAGCATAGAAGACAGAAACGTAATCTAATAAATAATTTAACTAATGCGATAATAATAGGATAAATATTACAAATACTTCTAATACATTAAAATAAGTCAAACTTAAATGGAAGAACTTACGGGTTGCTAACCCAGTAAGTCAAAATAGTTCATGTTCCTTGTAATTAAATCAATAAATATTTCTTAACGCCATTTTAAAAATTTTAAAATAAATACTCACGGGTATTGTAACTTTTGCGATTAAAAATATATATGAAAAAAAACTTTGAGTAAATTGATTTAATCAGAAAGTAGAAAAATTCTACATTTTATTATTCATGGTTTTATTCTCAAAAAAAAAAGTACAATAGTTTGACTTGTTGAATTTTTCTCAATGCTGGAATATATTGCAGTTTAGAACTAATGACCATACTTGCTTAAATAAAAAAGAAGTCCAAAGAAGAGAATATTATCAATGGACAACCTTTATGAAATAAAGCTGCATAACTCATTGCATATTAGGTTTTATAAAATACTCTGAGTTTTTTTTTTTTTTTTTTTTTTTTCACTTTATTTTCTTTTTTTTGATAATGAAATTTCAGTCCTCCTCCAGTCGTTAGATAAGTTTATGAGTAGCAACCACTAAAATTTCAGAAAAAACACTAAATGTTCATAAAAAGCTTCTGCCTCAAATTGGACATAAATTCATTAGGCGATGCTACTTTTTTAAGTTCATTAGTTAATACTTTAAGTTACTCCCATATCTTTGGCCCTCTAGTATGAATTGAAAAGTCAGTCGCGGCAAAATAACTTTTGGGTTAAATGTAACTGTTATTTGAGGAAAATTAAATAAAAAACCATTACTGTTTTAAACTTTATTATTTAAGCTCAATTAAAATAATTGCGGGGTAGTTAATTGTAGTTGTAATTCCTTTTATATCGTTTTAAAATGTGGAATTTAACCATACCAGATCAATTTTATCAGCTGGAAGTGCGTATTGAAAAATTAAGTCTTTTTTTCAATGTTTGTTTAAAATAAAATAAAAAAATTTCTTGAATTTTTTTTTTTTTTCGAGGGGGGAGGGTGGGTTAAAATTATTTTTAAGTTGTAAAAAGTAAAAGTTAAGTTGTAAAAAAAAAAAAAATTTTTTTTTTGGAGAGAGGGGGGCAAAAAAGGGGGAGGGGGCTCAAATTTATATTTACGTTGTAAAAAGTAGTTTTCTAACATCCTTGACCTTAATTATGATTTTTAAACGGAAAAAAAAAAGGACTAAATTTCATGTAAGTTGGACATACTCCTTTAAAAACTTTAGTCTTATATAATCCAATCAGAGTAAAACAAAATGCATCACCAGTTATTGCCACAAGAAAATGATCACCTCAAGGTCACCGTTGCCAAATAGTTAACGGAAACTCTAGGTAAAAATTTTTTATTAAAAGGCTTCAAGTCTATAAGTTTATTTATATATTAAATTATAAAAGGTATAAATTTGGTATAAAGTTTTTTTATAAAGCGACTATTTGATTGGTTTAAGACCCTCTGGTTTAAAAAACACAAATACACTTAAAAAACACAAATTCACTTAAAAAACATAAGACATTATTGATGATCAGTTCAATACTGGTTTTTTTAATACCAAAATGAGGAAATTGAATCTACATTGAAATAGTCATTAGGGTTCAGACTACAATATTGACCATTAAAAAAACTTGAAAGGACTAAGCAATTATTTTATGCCTAAAGGTTAATACTTGACAATTAATTTTACAAATATTTTTTATGAAGATTGGATTTGATGGTGGAGGTGGTGTATGTGGTGAATGATGGTGGAGGATCATTTTTGAAAATGAGTTTTGATCTTATTAACATGTTAAAATAAATTAATGAAACATCCCGCCCTTCACAGAAAACTCAAAAATTACTCAAGAGCTCAATAGCTCAGAGCCAATTGAGCTAAAGCTAAGGAGTCGTCCGCAAAGTAATTACGCTTTTATTTTGACCCTCTTTCTTGCATTTTACTATATGCTTTTTCGAGTACTCTCATCCTACTTAAAAGTACCTAAGCTTATAACAAACCTGCCTAACATTTTATGATAATTTTTTTTAATTTAGTGTCTCCTTACTTTTATAATAGACCCTCTGCCCCACATCTCATATATGCCATTTGCAGACCCTCTCTCACCCATTGAGCATACATGCCCCAGCCGGCATTATTACGTTGTTTCAACGTTGAAATTCGGTTGAAGCGTTGTTTCAACGTTGTTCAACTATGTCACAACGTTAAATCAACGTTACCGTTTAAACGTTGATTATTTAACGTTATTTCAACGTTAAATCAACGTTACAGTTTAAACGTTAACGTTATTTCGACGTCATTACTTCAATCATTGTTGACAAAAAGAACGATATAAAATTTATGCGCGCGCAGAAATGGAAGTAAAATCGTAAACATTATTTCAACGATTAAAGTTATAGAGACTTATAATGGAAAAAAAATGTAAATACTGAACTTATATCATATAGAATTCTCAAGAGATCGAAAACATGTTCAGACGATTTTCCTGAAAAGAACATTATCGTTTAAAAATCGATATTTTTCGTTTAACATGGGCTACAATGCTCAAATACTGATATTATTAAATGTAAATATAATACAGCTTTTTCAAAAAATGATCCATTAAATTATGTTGAATTTAATGCTAAGCGTTGTTTTTTAATAGAGCATCAAGAATTAAAAGAGAAAAATAATAACTTTTAAAAAGAACTTCAGCACGAAATAAAAAAATAAAGATTTATTTGAAAAATTAACTTCAAGCACATCAGTTATTACTATGAAAACAGACAACCTTGTATATAAACATAATCCAAACAAATCGTGTTATTGCAATTTACTTGTATACAAACATTTATTTTAAAAATAATAGATCTTGCGACTTTTATACTGGCCTTACATCTGTCAATGTGTTTCATCAGTTAGTGCAGTATCACCATTAATCAAAAGAGATAAAGTGATATTAAAAAAACATTTACTTCTGTTTTTTGAAATTTAAAAAAATACCTAACTACTTGGACCAAAATAAATGTAATGCAGCAAAGATGAATTTTTAATGATGCTAATACTTGGATTATTGACAGCTGATTTTGCTGATAGGTATAATATATTTTTTGGATTAGTGAATGCAATATTTTCTTCATTGTTGAAAGCTTCTAGCTCACTTTTAAACCACATGGTTTTTGTTCCAAGTAAAGATGTTATAAGACAGGCAATGCAAAACAGATTTTAGAAATTAAATTATTCAGACTCACACTAAATTTTAGATATAACAGAATTTATTATGGAAACACCTTAAAATTTTGACTTACAGAAACTAACAGGGAATGAATACAAACATTACAACAATATAAAAACCCGTAGCTCCAAATTCATCAATAATTTCTTTAAAAAATTTCTAAAGCTTACAGAAGCTAAATTTTGGATAAAAAAATTACTTATCGCAACAACTATTTAGATTGTATTACAAAATACTCTTGTATAATGTATGATTAAGGCTTCAATTTGGTTTGGTTTTAACTGGTTTGCATCTTATGAACGAAGTGCATAATATGATTAAAATTGATGATTTATAGTTACACCTATAGAAGTAAGTTTTATTTAGTTAATTAATGTTTGGATACATGACTATATATATATATATATATATATATATATATATATATATATATATATATATATATATATATATATATATATATATATATATATATATATTTATCTATAAATATATATATATATATATACATATATATATATATATATATATATATATATATATATATATATATATATATATATATATATATATATATATATATGTATATATATATATAAATATATATATATATATATATATATATATATATATATATATATATATATATATATATATATATATATATAAACTTTGCAACTAAAAATAGTCATGTATCCAAACATTAATTAACTAAATAAAACTTACTTCTATAGGTGTAACTATAAATCATCAATTTAAATCATATTATGCACTTCGTTCATAAGATGCAAACCAGTTAAAACCAAACCATTACTCGATCTTTGATCCACCAGAACTTTACTAAATAAATTTATACTGGTAATCAAACTACCACAAGTCATAAAATTTAGACAGTATTATTGAAATCAGCTTTGACCAATAGTTTATACTAATTTTTTTTTTACTCTTCACTATATAAAAAACAAAGAAAAGTTAAATCCAAAGAGAAACAAAACAATTCACAAACATAATTACTTACATACTTCTTCGGAGTCCTCTTTAGTTGTGAAAATAAATCCTGCACATACATCTTTATCTATTAGTAATTATTTAGTAAAATAAATATAAATAAAATGATGTAAAAACAAAAAAGTAGAATAAGTGTAAACAGGTTACAATATATATCTAGGCAGTAATAATACCATAACCAGATTCAAACTATTACTTATTCCGGAATAAAAATAAAATAGTTTATTTGATATAATACTTCACCGTTAAAATAAAGCTATAGTAGTTTTTTTATTCATATAAAACTATTAAAATAGCAATAATTACTGTAAAATTTAATGACCTCCAGTTACTTTAACTCTTTTAAGTCTAAGTTTGTTGCAGAAGTCAATGATTGAAAAGTTATTATAGGTAGCTTTCATTGCATAAACACAAGTTGACATTGGATACATGACTATTTTTAGTTGCAAAGTTTATATATATATATATATATATATATATATATATATATATATATATATATATATATATATATATATATATATATATATACATATATATATATATATATATATATATACATACATATATATATATATATATATATATATATATATATATATATATATATGTATATATATATATATATATATATATATATATATATATATATATATATATATATATATATATATATATATATATATAAACTAAAAATAAAACTAACTAAAAGTCTCTAGAATCGACATCTAAGATAAGATACAAGGTTTAGTAAACTGAGAATAACAGAGATTTACATTAGACAAGACTTTATTTATACATTAGCTTATTGCAATAATAAAAAGGTCAATTTTTTCTTAAGAGAGATGTTCTTATAAAAATGCTGAAAAACGTAGTTAATGTTGAAAGATGTAGAGTAGAATGAGGCTTGATTTAAAACTGAAGAGAAGTAATAAAAGCTTCCAAACTTTTATTCCAGAAGCAATATAAGCTTCCAAGATGCACTTTTTGCACACATATTATGGATATAAGCATATTTGTTTGCTATTTGTTTAGATGCTGGCATACAATATCCTTTCATTGTTGTATAAACTTTAGTATTTATATATTTGCCGAAAGAGAAAATGATCAGATGGATGTGTGGTGTGACTCTAACAAGGTATAAAAAGTAGGCATAATCTTAGTCAGATTAGAAAAAGTGTTGTATCAAACAACCTTTTTTTTTAGAAAAAGTTAAAGTAGTTCAGGTATTAACATGTAGAGTGGTAGCAGCTTCAATATAAAATGGTTGTGGTAGAAGTAAGAAAATTTGAAGAGTGCGCCTTATATAGTGCCATAATAAAGATGATGATGATTATCATCATGACAATCAACAACATTAACATAATTTTTATTATCATTGTCAAGCTTTCCGCTTTTATGCTGTTGATGATAATGATGATCATGATGAATATGATGATTGTGATGATGATGATGATGATGGTTATGATGATTATGATGATCACGATGATCATAATGATGTTCATATATGCATATATATACAAAGTATAGCATGAAGTTTAAATTCAAAAACTATACTTTAGGATGTATAAATGTTTATGCAGCCTGGTCTCTAACCCGACCTTGGCCCCGGCTATATTTTATCAAACCCGGCTCCGACCCTAGTCAAATATCAACCCCAGTTGTTTACTACAAAACATTTCAAGAATAAAAAACGTTGTGTTATTTAAAAAAAAAAATACTTATTTTATGCTATTACGACAATCACAATATATATATATATATATATATATATATATATATATATATATATATATATATATATATATATATATATATACATAATATATATATATATATATATATATATATATATATATATATATACATATATATATATATATATATATATATATATAATATATATATATATATATATATATATGTATACATATTTATATATATATATATATATATATATATATATATATATATATATACTATATATATATATATATATATATATATATATATATATATATATATATATATATATATATATATATATACATAATATATATATACATAATATATATATATACATAATATATATATATATATATATATATATATATATATATATATATACATAATTTATATATATATATATATATATATATATATATATATATATATATATATATATATATTTTTACTTTTTAAATTTAATAATAATCATACTAATTCAATAACATTTTTTAAACATTTGCTTTCAGATTGATAATGATACAAATTTTATTTTTTGATTTAGATTCTGTATCTCAATGATATCCTGGCCTATCGATTCGATATCCTGTAAATCCACTCACACACATAAATCTTAAAAAAGATGTTTATATTTTTATCTATAAATTGTAAATTTTATATAAATAAATTGTATATTTTTTACTATTTGTATTAAAAATCGACTTTAGAAATATTGCAAGTGCAGAGTTCAACATACAATTTTGTTTTATTTGCAAATTCAATATACATCATAACCAAGTTTAATCACGTTTAATAATATTTTGCGTAATTTTCTCCAGCGCATTTGAGCGTTGATTTAACGTTATATTTCAACCTTTACTCGACGTCTTTGAGTCTCGTTAAATCGACGTTTTACTACCAACGTTACAAATCCTTGCAAAATCGACTGCTTTAACAACGTTAAAGTAACGCTTTTCAAATAACGTTTTTTCAACGTTAAGTTGCAGCGCCTATGCAACGCTTTTTAAGTAACGCTTTTTCAACGTTAAGTTGCGACATTTTAATAACGTCTTTTAGAAACGTTTTTTCAACGTTACGCTACAACGTTTAATCAACGTCTCTTTAACAACGTGACATATCTTTGCAAAATCGATTACTTTGTCAACGTTTCCGCAACACCTTTTGCGACCGGTTTTTAACGTTGATTCAACGCTGACATGTTTGCTGGGTACGTAGAAAGCTTTGTTTTTTACGTACAAGGCTATGTATTTGCTTTATTTCTACTTATGAATTCTAAATGTCACGTTAAGCTCACGTGAAACTCATTGCAGAGTCGCAATTAAAAGGGGCTCGATGATAAGACTGCAGTCTTCTACTTGCTCCTGTCATTATTTTAATTATTTTATCTTATTTATAAATGTATGTATGTAAAATATATAGTGACGAAATAAATTTAAAAAATATATATGTCTTTTTGATTACTTAAAACGTTTTGTTTAGAAAGAGACTTCAGAAAAAAAATTTTTTGAAGCAATCTGTCGTTTTACTTATTTAAAACGTTTTTTTTAGAAAAAGACTTCATATAAAAATTTTTTTTTTTAAAACGCAACGATTAAAAATCAAATTTATCCAATCAAAATTTGAGTAGCATAAATTTGAAAGAAAAGTTGCGTAACTTTATACGCAAAGAAACTTTTGCAAAGACTTTTATTTTTTATATTTTTAAATTTTTAAAATAGAAGTGTAAGGTCAACCATAAAAAGTTAGCAAAAACTGAATTTCGCTTAAATTACGCAAAAAATCTAACGACTTTTTACGTAAGTTAGGCGTAGCTTTTGCGCAAACTTAACTTTACGCAAACGCTGCGAGATGTTTGTGAATACCAAGTAGTTTTGAAAATATAAATTTGCGTACGATTTCCGTAAGTTACGCAAGAGTTACGAAAGTTTTGTGAATCCGCACCCTGATTTTTATTGTTATTACGTTACCTAGCTGTTGTCAAGCGATTACTCAGAGGGTAGTTACTGTGGAGCAGTTGGAGCAAATTCTCCAAGTGCTGAAATTCTTGAACGCTAATGTTTTGTTTTTTTTTTTGCACGTTTTTTTGATTTCCCAGGATCAATCTACAAGGATCTTGTCATCTCTCCACCGCTTTCAGTCATAAAGTCTGCCAGAAAAACTCATCTAATTTATGTTACGAATTAAATTGCATAAGTACCGTGCAAGAAACCAGCAGGATTAGAATCTACTTTGTAGGAGATTATAGTTTTCAACGAAATACCGCATAATAAGGGATCTTCTACTTATTTTGAAGTAAAAACGCGATTTATTTTACGCGTAATTTACTTTACATAAATCATATAAAAATATATTAGTTACTTACATTTAAAAGTTATTTGTTTTTTTTTTTCTTAAATTTTTTTAATTTTTTTTTTAAGTTGATTTAGGTGCCCCAAGAAGTCCTTACGGTCTTATCACAGAGCACCGTGGAAGAGTATTTAATAGGAAGTTCATGCCTCCTTTCTAACCGATGTCGCAAGACTTGCCCAGAGGTGGAGTTTGAACTACGGATCTTACGTTTCTGAGGCAAGTGCGCTACCACTGCGCCACGGCTTCTTAATTATATAACGTGTAAAATTATATAATGTATACATAAATTTTATAACGTGTAAAACTTAATTACTTAAGTTAAGTTTTTTAAATGAGTAACTTTTACTTGAAAAAATAATTTACTTTTACAAGTAAAAGACATACGCATTTTTACTTTTACTTAGAAATGTAACTTACTTTTAATGGTAAGTCGTGTAAAGTAAAACACTTTGAAAAGTAATTTTGGTTATAATTATATAAAAAATTTACATCGAAATGAAATTTACTTTTTAAATGCAAAAGTTATTTATGAAGTAAACTTACATAATATAATATTCAAAAAACATAACACTTAAGGATCGTCCATAAAGTACGTACGCTTTTTTTTTGTTCACCTCCTCCCCCGTATTTTGCAATACGCTTTTTTGAGTACCCTCCACCTCCCTAAAAGTAACTACGCTTTTAACCTATTTATCTAACATTTTATGATATTTTTTTTATTTAGTGTCTCCTTTCTTTTATAATTGACCCACTGCCCTCTCATCTCATATACGCCATTTGCAAACTCCTTTTTCCCCTCCTAGCGTACGTACTTTATGGACGATCCCTTAATTTACAAAGTAAAATAAAACTATATCATAACAACAAAATACTTTTAAAGGGAAAAAGTAACTAATTAGCATTAACAGTTTACATAAAAGTAATTTGAAAAAATTGATATTTACATTTACAAATAAAAATAATTTTTTTCTT